CCGCTTTGTCTATAGCATCCATCTGGGCCCATCATGTCACCCTGTGGGGACTAAGGGAAAAAGGGAAGCAACAGAAATAAGTTGATACTCACGATACTCAAAGTGTTTGCTGTGCCATGAATACTATCTTTTGTCTCTGAACCAGGATTCTCATGCCTTCTCGACATCTGTGAAACAGTAAGACTAGTGTATTAAGAACCTCAGACCCTTCACAGTTCTTGATAGTAACCCACCTCCAGATTCAAAAGTCAGAGAAATATTATAAAATGTCTTTCTCATTGTACACTTGAAGGTATAAAGTACCATATAAAAATTACACATCTGATGCCATCTTTCCCTTCCTCATTTTGTGATTTTTAGGGACATCTGAAAATAGATTCAAAAATAAAATTTCTATCATTTCCATAGCTCATTATCCCTCTCCATGTCCTCCCTTCTTTCCTTATCTGGCTTAGATTCCATGGTCTATCATTAATATCACACCCTGGAAAACACCTGTACCTTTTCCTTTCATTAGACTTGTCTGGCAAACTTAAAACTGCGGTTAAAGTATTTGTAATACCTCACCCGTGCACTAAGCACCTGAAAATTGTCGACGGGTCTCACTGGACTTTTATGACCACAGATTTCAAAAGGGCTCTGATAATACTACTACATTTCCTGTATGTTTGCTATTTCACACTGCCTTCTCTTCCTTCAAGTTTCTCATGTCTCCTACCCTTTCTCAGTTAATGAAATTTAGAAAATATTTCTTTGAGGAAAATATAAACCATTAGGCAGAAGTTGTCTCATCTCCCCATCTATGTACATTCCACATCTCTGGCATCCCTCCTAACACAATGAATTAAACATCTCTACCCTAGCAAAGAACCATTTCTCTAACCTTCTCCGAGGCTTCCCACCTCCAATTCTCTTTTTTTCTCTATTTCAGGAGTCTTTCCTGGATTATTTTCATAGTCACTATTATCTCTTATCTTAAAATAAATCAAAACAAAGCAAAACAACACTTCACCTGATCCAGTCTCCTAAAGGCCACCCATCTCTACTCCAATTATCTATAAATGTGGTCTTCATATCCTTATTTCATTTACCGAACTGTACTTCTCCCTCTGTTACTCCACAAAGACCTCTCTTATTGCCACAACTAATGGACCTGTTCTTAGCTTATTTAGCCTCTGAGCAGCATTAACAAAGTTGACTAGTTCCTTCTTTTTGCAGCATTGTCTCCGCTTGGCTTCCATGATGTCACACTCTTGGATTTCCTCCTGTGTGACCAGTCACACGTTTAAATCCTCTTGAAGTTCTTCCTCCTCCACCAGACCTCTAAATATTAGACTACCCAGGGCTCTGTTCTTGGCCTCTTCTCCTCTAGCTCCATTCCTCAGTGAGTCCACCCAGCCTCTGGGTTTTAAAAGACATCTACTTGCCAATAACTCCCAAATCTGTGTCTCAAGCCCTAAACTCTCCTGAACTCCATACTTGTCTATCTAACTACTTATTTGACATTTCCACTAAGATAATCGTCATCTCAAAGTCCACATTTCCAAAATAGATCTCTTAATTCTGCCACCTTTCCTTCCATAAATCCTCCTTCCTTCAGGAAATCTTATTAGCTCTACATTAAAAATATCAACAGGGCTTCCCTGGTGGCGCAGTGGTTGAGAGTCCGCCTGCCGGTGCAGGGAACACGGGTTCGTGCCCCGGTCTGGGAAGATCCCACATGCCGCAGAGCAGCTGGGCCCATGAGCCATGGCCGCTGAGCCTGCGCGTCTGGAGCCTGTGCTCCACAACGGGAGAGGCCACAACAGTGAGAGGCCCGCATACCACAAAAAAGAAAATAATAATAATAATAATAATAAATATATATATATCAACATAATCAGAACCTGACCCCTTCTAACAACTCGACCACGACAACCCTCATTCACACCATCTTCTCTCACCTGAATTATAACCTGTTTTTATCCTTACTCCTCCCTTCACTCTGCTCTCAACTCGGCAATCAGATCATGTCACATTTCTCCCCAAACGTGTGAAAAATTTTGCATATCACAGAGTGAAAGCCAAAGCTTTATAATGGTCTGGGGTATGTTGTGGTACGCTGGATTATTTTTCAGAAATATTCACTCCCTCACCACCATCCCCACCTCCACGAATGGAGCGCGCTCTTCTACCTCGTCTCTGAGCTCGACTGTGTGACTCACCAACAGACATGATGCAACCAAAGGCTTGAAAATGGTTTTGCAAGTGGACCTGCCCTCTTACATCTCTGCCACTGTCCTGAGAAAAACATGTCAGGGCTAGCCTGCTGGTCCCAGGAAAAGGAAGAGAGACACATGCAATAGCGCTTCTACATCTGAGCCTAGCTTAGATAAGCTGACCCCAAACCAAACTTCTTATGGATGTGAGCAAGCCCAAATGAGATTAGCAGAGCTGTCCAGATAAGCCCAGTCTAGATCTGACTCATAGGCATGAGCTAAATAACTGCTTATTCGTGTATGCTTCTGAGAGTCTGTGGTTTTTATGTGGCAGAAACTGGTAGAGGCTGTGAGATAGGACCCGTTAACTCTCTGATCTTCTACTAGTTTATCCCTCTCTTTTCCAACCATATTCGCCTCTTTGCTGTTTTCCAACTATACCAGGCAGGCTCCTTCCTCAGTATCAATGCATTTACTTATTACCTCACAACAAGATATTCAAGGCTTTCTCCCTAATACCTCCCTGTGTACTACACAATGTAACATTACAAATGAACCTTGAAAACATTATGCTAAGTGAAGGAAGCCAGTCAAAAAGATCACATCTTCTCTCTGCCCCTCAAATATGGCAAGCTCATGGCTTTGACTATTTTCTCTCCCTAAACACTCTTCCTCATTATCTTCACATCAGATTTCTTCTTGTCAACCAGATTTCAGCTTAAACGTCTTCCTCTCAGAGGGCTTCCCCTGATTATCCAATCTGAAGTAGCTACCCAGCCTCTTGCATCATCTCTGTGTTAATTCTATCACATATTCATTTAATTCACTCATTCATTCAACAGTGTGAATGCTCTGTATGCGCCAAGCACTTCTGAGGATAATGAGTAAGACTCAAAATTCCTGCCCTCATGTAACCTATAATCCGGTGGAGAGGGGACAAATAGTGTTATGTAGGGACATAAATTATGGAGAATATTTAGACAGCAAGAGAATGAAAAGTTATTGGGATGAGGAAAAAGCTATTTCCTATAAGGCTGGTCATAAAAGACTCTCTATTAAGCAGATTATAAGCAGACGCCTGAACGAAGTAAGAGAGGGTTGACTGGGGTGTGGTGGGGAGAATGTCAAGAAAAGCGTAACTTGAGATGCGAGCCTACAGGCTTGGAATATAATTGTACTGAATAAAATGGAGACAAAGGGAATTAGTCCATTTTTTCCCTCAGGGGAGGTGATGAGAGTTAAAGCTATTATGAGTTTGAGGTGTTAGTGCAACATCCAAGTAAGAATGTCCAGCAGGCAGGTGAGAAGACAGAACGGAAACCAGGAATTTTAGGGCAAGCTGGAGATTTAGGAGTCAGCCACAGAAAAGTGAAAGATAAGCTTGTAAAGAGAGATGACATTTTCAAAGGACCAAAGGAGGAAAAGAGTGCTAACCACTAAGTCTTAGGGGATTCAACAAAATATTTATAAAATGTATAAAATACCCCTCTCTTATATTATTTTTACTGATATTTCTGATACGTATTTTTTGTTCCTAAGTCTCCTCTCCATTCTTCAGCCCCAGCAGAATGCATGTGGCCTTGTTTGTCTTATTCACTGCCACAATCTCAAATGCCTGAAAGAGTACCAGGAACATAGTAGGTCCTTGGAAAATATATAATGAATAAAGTAAATGTGTGCCTTCTTCTTTTGGCATTCTTAGTTAAGAAAATAACCAACATCAAGCAATACACAATCTCTCAGGATGTCAGAATTTCTGTCTCTGGTGAGTTTCTTTAACAAAGTGTCCACATAGTTTTCCAATGTTACATTCAGCACCTGCAATTTATTTCCAATGATTTCACTGTCTACTTTATAGACCATTAAAATGTAAACAAAGTAACCCCAAAGAAGACAAAATGGACATCCCTGCATTGAAGACTACATAAAAAACATTAGACTTAACTTGCAGCTGACAGGTTTTTGACTTTCCAGAGCCTTTTGCTCCTGATAGGACAGGTGAAATAAATCTGGGTGTGTTCAGACTAAATGACCAGGGCAGCACTGCTGTCCTTTTCCAGCTGCATGACTTGTACCATTCCTTTTAAATGGCACTCATTTCCTTAAGTTCTGGGATGCTGAGCCATATTCTGTCATGTTTTCCTGTCACTGAAAAAAAAAAAAGAACAGCTCCTATTAAGATTAGAAATGTTCAGAGGTACAGACATTAAAACAGAAAAGTGTTCCTTTCTTATTTGGTAAATATTTTGCTTTTGAAACATCAGTAACTAATCACAGCCGTTTCCTTTCATTACAAATGTATCCAATCAGGTAAAATTCCAAATGAAACACACAATCCAACAGTCATTCCATTATACAGTACAATGGGAGGCTTAAGCCTTGTGAAATATATGTATTAAGTATGCATGTATTCATCAAATCAAACAAAGAAGCTAATGGGTCTCTGATTAGTGTTCTAACTCCGTTTTGATGATGATGATTCTTGCATCTCATCCTGACTCATCTAAAACATGTGAACAAAATGCTATTAAGTTTGACAGACAATCTGTTATGTGCCATCATCATTCTGGTTAAATAGCACAAACTGAATTTTGGCTAGAATTTCTCTCGAAAATCAGGGGCAAAGAAAGAGCTGCTGTTAAGTTGAGATACTCTTCTATTTTAACCTCAATAATTTGTTCTTTATGTCAAATCTAAAACAAAAATTAATAAAAATTAAGCTCATCTAGGATTCATAAAGACTGTGTTTCCAAAGGGATTATTACATGGACATTAATGGACAATGGCTCATTCAATCCAAAATTAGGTATTCAGAAAAATAAGTAAATAGCAAGTGAGTTTTTATTAAATATTTTTAAAATACAGATTTTGTGGCAATTATAAATTAATTTCTAATATAATAATAAATTGATACTTTGAGCCAAGAAAACAATATAACAAAAATTCATTTCCAAATGCAAAGCAGGTACCCCATGTTTAGGGATAGTTCATATTAATGCATAATTTTGTTTTTAGAAAAAGATGACTGTTACAATCAGGTATATAACCACTTAGTTACACCTAAGTTCTGTTGGTTAAAAATATATTCTTTTAGAAAATCCATTTTGAACATATACTTTTTTTCAGTGATTTTCTCCAAACAATGGTAGAAGTGCTCCCTGATGGACAGAACTCAGGAACTGGTTTGACCACACCTAGACTGTACTGATATCTACAATACAGGACTCCAAGGGAGAGTCCAGCTCCAACTTACGAAGTAGGCCCAGTTCAGAATGTTTAACAATGAGGTGCTAACAAACGATAGCACTAATCAAAAATTAACAACTTTAGGTATCTTTGTTTTGGGTTTCTGTGGTTTAGGCACATCCAAAATGTCTTCATAGTCCGCGCTCATTCCCTTTGCCCAGCGACCAACCGTGACCATTCGATCTGTAAAGATACAGAAAAGTCAAAATGTAAGAGAAACAGTCATCAAATACATCCACCTAGATTGGTACTGGTTTAGCAAAGGAACTAGTTTTGACATGAATAATCACAAAGAGAGAAGACTCCATAACTAAAGGAAAGTGAGCAATTCTGTAATTGATTATAACCCTTGATTTCAGAGTACCACAGGCAATTTCTCATCCCAATTAGGGAAATGCAGCAACTGCTTTGCAATGCACAAATTGATGAGAAAGCTCTTTCATTCTTTCCCAGAGTTCATCATTATAGAGTCAATGAATTCCAAGAGTCTGTAAACAGCAAGACTTATGAAGCATCAGTTTCAAATGAACAAGATTCCACCTGTGAAATTATAAAACATCTGCTTGTCAGTCTTATCATTTGGGAAGAGGCAATCCTCCCAGGAGGGAGAATTCAAATTCCACTTCATCATTTCAATCTCACTGCCTACAGTGTAGTAAAGACTATCTTCTTCTAGACAAGATTGTAAACAAGAACTCTTGGTTTTCAGATTCAAATGCTAGGGGTAGGAAGTAAGAATGGGCAGACTTATTTTTGTGGTACTATGACTATATGATATAAAAAGAAGTGTGCTTTTTCCCCAAGAAGCACTAGTGGGCTATCCTACTGCCTTGCTTTCTTTCACTCAGGATTATCATCATTTTAAGCTAGGTAAACTAATGTAATAATGGTCTCCGCATCCCAAAAAAATCTGCCTTAGGTTTGGTGAACATTTACGAAGTTTTCAATGACCATGGGTAGTATTTCACTGGGAAGAAAATGTAACTGGCCAGATGCTGTGTAGATGACACAATTTTAATATTTTCGGCAGTTTTTGCAACTAACTGAATCCTTTTGGTTTCACAGCATACATGAGGATACTCAATAATAAGAATACTGTAAGTTATTCTCAAATTTCTTATTTTCTCTTAGTGAGAAATACTTTTCTCATACTTTTCTTCAAGTAACAGAATTGGCTCTATTATTAAATACATGGGTTAGCAAATAAAAATGTTTATGAATAAGATGCTTTATAAAATCAGGGTCCTCTGGGGCTTACTGGTCATTTTTTTTCCCACCTCAGAATAGCAGCTGATGCTCAGTTAGTAATGCTGATAAAGAAATGATGAAGTCATCACTGCAGTAGGAAACCAGGCAGCCTTAAAATCAGTTGTACATCAACAAGTTATTAATAACAAAATTCAGCAAAAACACAGAGGAATACTAATCTCACCCCTTCTAAATGGATGCCCAGAGATCTCACCTGAATTCTGACTTTTGGGGCAATCTTTCTTAAAATGTTCCACAGAGCCACAAAATCTGCAGCAACCACCTATAAAAAGAACAGAGTAGTTGAAAACCTCTAATACTTACATAGGGCTTTTAACGTCTCAAAGCACTTTCATATCTTATTTGGTCCTCACAACCTTGTTAGTTGCAAAGGTAGCTGGAGCCAGGAACTTACTCCTATTAAGTCCATTCTCCATTCCTCTTGACTTCAAAGAGCACTAAACTGTACCTACCCACCATTTCTTGCCCCTGGCCTTCAGGGCATATGTGGGAAAAAGAAGTGAGATATGACGGAAGGTACGTGTCCTCTGGAGTGTCCAACAGCCATTGCACAGAAGCCTGGATCTTAACCACGGTTAGAAAAGGAAGGGTTTGTGAACTCTGAAAAATCTGTGGGCAGATGCATTTTTTGAGGAGAATGCCCACAGTTTTTAATCAGATTCTTTAATGATCAGAATGTTTAACCATGAGGTGCTATGAGGTCCCCAAAGGGTTAGGAACCACTGCTCTGCTGTACAGGTCAGATGGGGGTGAGCAATTACAAAAGGAATGAAATTAACTTTTGTTTCAGTACCTTCTATCTGCCAGGCATCCTAACTCGAGTAAAAATGCCTACTGCCCTTTAAGCAACATTCCAGGACTATGAATTACAACACGTTTGGTTTCTAAAATGAGTCTTCACTGAATGGTCAAACACTATTGCTTAACGGTCAAGCATTATCACGATCATGCTCATAATGTTAAGTGACTCACTCAGAAAAATGACCCTAATAGGATGAATTCTCACTTCTATGTGACCTACTCCCCTTGCTGCACTTTTTTATATCTAGTCATTTTGGCTGACCATACAAAGGCATCTTTGCTCACTAGTCATATTATATGACCTGTTTCTTAAGTTCAAAACTGAAAGGCACTTTTGAGCATCTTCCAGGTCCAGGACTCTTTACTATTGTAGATGCCATAGTGAAATAGAAGAGGCACTTGAATAATATATTTTAATCCTCATAACTCTTCAAGGTAAAATACCATAATTCATCAAATATAAGACACCACTGATTGTAAGACGTATCATTATTTTACATTGCTCTCTGGAAAAAAAACCTTCCAATTATGTGACACCCCCCAATAGTAAGATACATTGAGTTCAGAGATATTAAAATGTGAAAAAAATGTGCATTTTAGAATCAATGAAATACAATTTTCTCATCTCCATTTTACAGGTAAGGAAACTGAGAAGAGAGAAGTTAACTTGGCCAAAGTCCCACAGTTAGTGAGTGGTAGTACTGAGGCTATAACTGGTCTAACTCCAAAGCTATGCTTTTTCACTGGACTTCTGCAAGGGGACTCAGTCACAACACAAGTGGTTTCTAGAACCTGATGGTACCAGCATCACATTAACAAATGACTCACATTAACAGATGACAACCTGCTCCTTAAAGCTTTAAACATCATAGACTTCACTGTGGGCACCTTAAGCCATTAGTTGAGCTAAAGGTAAGAGAGTTACTTGATTCCCATGCCAGACAACTAACTAAGGAAAACATTCAGAAACAAAAGTTACTACAAATATGAATAGTGTGTACCAACCCTTCTACCCAAAATGGTATGCTAGACTGAGATTAAATTCACAACACTATTTTTTAAATCTTCTCCTAGTTTGAGAAATTATCCCTTTGCTTCTGTTATGTTTAAAAGTAGATACTTACACTCTCACAAATGATGCTGAAGCAAGCACAGATATTTTGAAATAGACATGTCAGTTTCTTCTGATTTGATGTATTAAAAATAATACAAAGTTATATTACACAAAAAGTCTACTACATAGAATAGTGCTTGATAAAGATAATGAAATTCTCAAGATTTTGCTACTTACTCAAGAATTTATTTAAAAACTAAATAAATTTAGTTTTTAAATAAATTCTTGAGTAAGTTTCAGTATAAACTAAATCACAACTGCATGATGACTCACCATTTTCAACATATAAAAGTACTCACCATCAGCATAGAGTCCTTTGGGATTATCAGGACAAGATCTGGACAGATGTCCCATTTCCCCACAAACAAAACATTTTGCAAAAGGAAATTCACCTGTAACAATCAACAGTTCCTGTTAAGTTAGTTATATATATATATATATATACACACATATATATATACACACATACACACACACACACATATATCTATATACACATCATGTAATTCATATTATTTTAAAACACTCTATTCTCAGAGTGTTTTCAGAGTGCTTAAGAAACATATTTGTTTTTACATGATTTAAAGTTTAATCTCATTTGATTTCAAAATATTAAGTGACACACTCATAACAAATCCCGTCAACAACGAAAAAAACAAGTTGGCTACTTACTGGCCACTTTCCCCATTAACCAAATAAAAAATTGATAGAAAAAAAGATACATTAATACCAAAAGCTGGGTCTACTTTAGCCTTGCACTTGGTTATTTCATGCTCTGTGGACCCACACCGGTAACATATTCCAGTGCCCATTTCTTGATTCTCAAGGGCAGCTGGGCAATCTGCAATCCCATGGCCAGGTTTTCTACAATGGAAACATACCTAGGAAAACAAAAATGTGAGTTTCCACACTGCAACACTACACTGGCTTTACTAATTCTAGTCATCAAAAATGTCTTTAAAACATTCCTCATTTTTAAGTTATCTAGTTCTTTTTTTGAAATCTCAGTATTTATCTGTAGAAAAAAGTGTTTCACATATTCCTAAACCATAAGAAATGTCATTTCCATCAGAGTTTCAGTGCTTTTGAAAACCCTCAATCCATCAATCTCTCAGTCTCAGACTCAAGTTATAAACGTCTTTGTAGGAGGTAATTGCTTAAATGAATTAAGCAAATATGGACTATTCATTTCATTAATGGGGATGTCTGTACCTAGAAACACTCAGTTTTCTGGAGGAGATGGACAATGACCATAAAAATTATCACTCAAAATTAATACTTTCACTTTTAAAGTTCACATAATTGAATGAATTTGGGTCAAGTGATTCCATTTAAATTATGATTCGAATCATAAGATATATTTCATACCAAAATGTATACTTAATTTTTTATATCTTTCATACATATTCCTTAATATTCATAAATAGATAGATGTTTCATTTTAGAATATATGCACATTTTCAAGGTATAATTCTAAGATGAATTATTTGGCTCCAGCCTAACATTGAACAATGGTTTGGTTTCTTTACATACTACCTAGCAATCTGCAGGATATTTTTCGCTGCAATGAATATCAGTCATAATCAAAGATGGTAGAGAGCTAAAGTATTTTATTTAAACTGGAAAAAGGTATATTTTTTGGATAACAAATAATTCATCATTTAATTTTTTTTCAAAATAAGCACAAGGTTTTTAAAAAGCAAATTCAGTAGGCAAAATAATATTTTGCAACTATGCCCTTTCTTTTTTTCCTGTTTAATAACATACTGGAAAAGAATGAGTCCCTTTAGTCTTTATTAACTTTTACATTTAAAATGAGCTAGTGCAAACAACAGAGAATTCATTTATTCTACAACTGCAGGAAAAGTTACTACCCAAAACTGGATCACCAACATAAGAAGTCTTGTATTCTTGGTGAAGTCAAAATTGTCTCTAGTAACCTGACAGCTTACCGACTGGGGTTTTATCTGTAAAAACCTAATTTCACCAAATACAAACTTTTTGAATGATCCTTAAATTTAATGTAGATGGGATTGTGGAGAGTGGACTGGTAAATTTCTAGATGTCAACTTATTAACAATAGAACTGATGCTTAGTCTGCTTAGTCTGAGGTATTAAAAAGAAAAACAAGAAAATGAGTTGAAGGGTCTCAACAAGCCATATACTATTTAAAGCACACGCTTTAATATAAAGAATTCCTTTTTTTTTTTTTGGAAAAACAATGTCCTTCCCCTTAATTAAAAACATAAAACTTCTCTTAAAAGGTCACAATACTAAACTTTTTCAAAAAGTATGCAATTCACCATACCACCTATGTCAATGAAATTATCTTTACATTATCCTTACATTAAATTAAGCTGACTTTAAAATATTTAAAAATTGTATAATTTAAACAAAACTATCTTGATCCAAATAGAAATGATTATCTTTTCTATCCCAATTTATCCATAAGGAACATTTTATCAGTATTATCTCCACAAAAGAATCTTTAAATATGACACTGCATAAAACTAATCCTGCAAATAGTCAGAAGCCACATTTATGGAGGCTGTAACATTTCAAATCTACACTGGTGCAAACAGTGCTCTACATGTAGTAATTCTGATAAAAAATAAAACTGTAAAAAATAGCAACAAATCCTGATTCTTATGTAGTATCCTGCTAGAAGAATCCCTTACTAGAGCAGGGAAAGAATTATACCAAGTATTTCATTTCCTGTGTCTGACACAGTTTAAAATCTAGGTCTTGGCACCACGGAAATAAACCCGTAGCCCCCAGCACTCCTCTCAGTGTAACATGGGGAAGGAGGGAGCAATGACTAGGGAGAGTCTCAAGGAGTTTTAACTCTGCTATTACTCTGCTCTGTTACTAACCAGTATGATTCTTATTAGATCTCCTTCCTGTGCAATCAGTATTTCATGGATAAAGATAAAAGGAGACATCCTTTCCAACTAATGGGAACCACACATATCTAACCTGTTGTACTTAACCTTCCCCCTTATCTTGATCTTTTTTAAAAATGGCTGTTTGAAAAAGGGCTACTGGAAGGGGTGAGAACATAGGTCTTAAAGTCAGACTCTGGGTTTAAATATCTTCTTTTTTTCTTTTGGCTGAACTACACAAAGTTAGCAGCTCATTTAGGTTTACATTTATTTAATAACGCATATACTTACAAAGTGCCAACCACTATTCTAAGTAATCAAATATTAACACCTTTTCCTGGGTTTGAACTTCTCCTCTGCTACTTGCTAAGTGGCTTTCAGCAAGACACTTAACCTAGATGCACACCAGTGTTTTCTACCCAAAATATGGAAATAATGCCACAACCTTTGTATGTTGTGATAATTAATCAGTACATCAAGTGTCTAGCATAGAGAAGGTGTTCAAAAAAAGTCCTAGTATCATTACTAGCCCTCAAAAAGATGCCGTATACGTCTAGTACATAACCACAATCAGACTCTGCTAAAATACATATCTCAGTGTATGAATAATAGTTTCTAGCCATACAAAGTAACATTTTAGTAGAAGTGATAATCTTACCATTGCATTTTTCTTTGCTGCTTGTCTTTTTAATCGTCTTCCTTCCCGGCGACTCTCTTTCTTTAAAGCAACTGCAATTTCTTCCCTGACTTCCTGACTGTCTGCTGCTATCATCTCCCCATTGTGAACCATCTGGGAGTTCTGCCTTAGATATTCCATGAATCCATTCACATCTTCATTTAAATACTCCTTTTTCTTTTTATTCTTTTTGTGTTTTGCTTGGGGTGCATGATTTTTAAGGGACAGACTATCAGCTTCAAGTTGTTTACTCTTTGGTAGGTTTTGGCTTTTTCCCTCAAAGGACCCCTTCTTCATGTCCTCCCATGATGTTGCAGGGAAGGGTCTTTTGTTCTGTGTGGTAGTAACTCGTGCCCACCTGGTCATGGTTTCATCAGATGTTTATCCGTCTTTAAGACAAGCATGGCCAGTTAGTCACCATCTCAAATAAAAAAATGAAAAAAAAAAGATACATGCTATATCACTATATCACCTGTACCCATATGTTAGAGTTTTAATTATTAAAACACTTTTTAACTTAATTTATATATCTGTATATTTAATTCTATAACATGCTGCAGAGATATGCCTGTAATGTAAAGCTAGCCCTTGCTACCACACCAGTAAGAAAACAAACAGCAACAACAAAAAAAACACGGATATAAATACTTGCTTCAAACTGAAAAACAATTCATTAAGAAACCAAATTATTTCCAAAATTAAATCACATAGTAATAGTAAATGAAGTTACTTTTCCCAAATTCCGCAGTTTTCTGAGCGGTTTATTTCCCTATCTCTAAGTCCCAGGTCTACTTTCTTCCAATCTTTTTGCTTAGTCTGACATTTTCATCGCAAATAATTTGCACAGCAAATTAGTAAGTATACACAATTCCTGTCCTTTGACCTGAAGTCTGTCATGACAACTCTTTCCGGCAGATTGATAAGCAAAATATGTGTGTGCAATCACGTGATAATACCGAGTCTTCCTTTTATTAATCAGAGCGTAAGCTACTTCCAGCCCAGCTGTTTCAAATAATTTTCAGCTATTAAGACGCCCCTCTTTTAGGGCAGCATCCCGTGCGGAAAACCTCAATTCCTGCCACGACATCCCTTCAGCACAAGCTGCGGGGCGGAACCAATAAACAGGTGTGGGGCTGTGCACGCCACTTTACACCACGCGCGCGCACTCGTCACTGCAGATCCTGTGACTGTCACAGTGGGGACTGGAGCTGTTCAAGAGGAGAAAGGTTATCCTTCCCCTGAGTATATGGAACAAGGGAAGCTCTGAGTACCCAGTCGGCTGGATCCATTCGACCCGACGGGTCCCAGTGGGGCTGGCCCGCGCCGGCCCAAGCGGCCAGCCTCCTACAGCTGAGGCGGATCCCGTCACCGGCGGCCTGGGCCCGCCGCGGAGCCCGGTGCTTCAGCCCCACCTGGCGCTGGGGGCCCTCGGGGACCTAGCTGCCACTCCCTCCGCCCTCCCGCCGCGTCCCAGGGAACGAAAGAGGGGGTCCCACCACCTTACTCCCCCACGCGCAGCTTCTTACCACGCACGAATCCTCCAGAGCAGCAGAGTTGGCAGGCCAGAGAAACCCGTCCCGCTGCGGCGGCGCGACAGTCGGGAGCGGAAGCACGTCGTCCCTGACAGCGCGTCACTTCCGGGGGGCAATTGTTTCACACGGTGGCGTGCAGCTGTCAGGCGCTCTGGTTCCTCTCAGCGCCAGTAAATGTGGCTAATTAGGAACTGAGAAGCTCGCAGTGTTTGAAGGGCCCCGCTCTGGACCCCGGAGACGCGAAGCTGAGAGTGCGCAATCTGTGCTGTATGGAACGCACAGCATAGTGGGCGAGATGGATGGAAGGATCCGTGGGGTGGGAAAGGCCCGAAAGACTTCCCTGAGAAATGATCTTTGTACTGGACTTCGAAAGATAAAGCAAATATTTCTTGGGATTGGCGGCGGGAGGGAGTTACGTTTTTCTATCCGAAGTAAAGTAAAACTGTTAGCGCAATGGGAATGGATCACTGTGATAGAAGTGTAAAAAGGACATTTGGGGCCCTACTAGGTGAAGGGCGGTGCCCCATAGTCCTGCCCAATGCTAGTTCAGCGTTCAATTGAAATACCACCCTGTGGAGCCAAAGACGCTCGCCTTTAAGAGAGAAATTGTAGTCTCCTGGGCAACTCTTTATCTCAACTAGCCACCCCTCCCCCCGCGCCCCCCAACAAAAAAAACCCGGCTACCACCAGCATTTGTGCTTGGTGGAAAAATTGGCAATCCACTCAGTTCACCAGGACAACTACTCCCATCCCCATCATCATGCTCGATCCCTTTTACTTCTTAAATATCTGTCCACTTTATCGCTACTGCTACCTCCCTTGTTCCAGCTTTCATCATGTCACGCCTGGATTACTGGCAGCTGATCTGGGCATCCGTTCTTGTTGCACTCCCTCAAATCCATTTTCCGTGCCTTAGCGAAGCAAACTTTTGAAATGTAGATCAGATTGTTGCTCCCTGCTTTAAACACTTCCATAATTTCTCATTGTTCTTAGGATGAAGTTCAAACTCATTAACAAGATAAGTCCCTGCCTATTTCTCTAGCCTCACGCTGCACAGGTTCCGCCTCTTCTTTGAGCTCCATGCATAGGAGTCTCCTCAGTTTGTCAAATGCCACATGCATCTTGCTATCTCCAAGCCCTTATATATGCTCTTCTCTTTGTATGGTACTCCTCCTCCTTCTTGCAATTAATTTCTACTCACCCTTCAAGGTTTTAACGTTTTATTCTCAAGTAAGCCTTCCAAAGCCCCTTCCCCAAACTAGATCAATCCCTAGTATACAGTCATGGCACTCTATACTTCTTTATGGCGCTTTTCAAATTCGTAATTGCATAATGAATTGTGTAATAAGTTGTTTGTTGTATCCCTATTGCCTGGTACATAGTTGATGCTCAGTATGCTTTGTTAGCTAAATGAAGAATAAGTATTTTGCAATGCTTGTTAAAGTAAGCTAGAAAATGACTCTATTTTAAGAGGAAAGATTAAAGTCAATGCCATAGGAATATTGGAATTTGGTATGGTAAATATCACAAATATCCTAGTTCTTATGGTGGGGAAAGTTTTAAAAGATTTTTTAAAAAAACTCCTCCAGCTCTGGAAGAGAGGGAGCTTCCTAGAAGATGTGAGAGTGCCACTCATACCATCATGTTCTTAACCAGCTGGCTTCAGGCTCTAAGTGCCGACCTAAAACCTGACATTTCATAAAGAGGTTTTCTTTGGTAGATGCCAGGTTCTTGCACATAATGTATGCCACTAGAGGGTGCATTCAACTAAAACTCGTCTTTAGTATTGTGCTGAATTTTAATCTGTAGAAGGTTGTATATTCCTGGAAGTGAAGGAACATGATCTCAATTTGCTTTTGTGGAAATGCATCAAATAAAAATTAGAAATTGAGCAAATCAGCCATAGAAATCCTTTGGGATTCAGAAGAAAGTATTAGTACTAATTATAGCTAACTTCCACTGAACATTTTATAGGTACCTAGCACTTTGTGCTTAATGCTTTCCATTCATTAACTCATTAATCCACCCAGTATCCTGAGAGGTAGAAGCTATTATTTTCTCCACTTTACGATGAAGAAACAAGCTCAGAGAGCTAAAGTAGCTTATCCAAGGTCACACATTTAGTAAGAGGCAGAGTCAGGATTTGAACCGTAACTTCAGTCAGTCCAAAGGTGTGAGCTCCACTATGTTGAAATACTATAGGGGATTGTTTGCCAGCTTGAACCCACTTTAAAATAGACTTACTCAGTTAGCCTTGCCCATATGAGACTTTATTTATTTATTTATAGAATGTATTCACTCTTACAGTTCAATGGATTATCTTTTTATTAAATTTTTTCATTCAGATATCATTAAAATACTGTAAATGTGTTATTTTCAAAACAGTATGATCCAGAGGATAAATGTTAAGTGAGGAACTGAAGTTCTGGTTATGAAGGGCTGAAGTACCTCATTTTTAGAAAATTGTGAAGTGTATGATGCATACAGAAAAGTATATGACATACGAAGTAATCATAAAGTACATGTTCATGTAAACACTGCCCAGTTTAAGAAGCTGACAATTGGGCTTCCCTGGTGGCGCAGTGCTTGAGAGTCCGCCTGCCGATGCAGGAGACGCGGGTTCGTGCCCCGTTTCGGGAAGATCCCACATGCCGCGGAGCGGCTGGGCCCGTGAGCCATGGCTGCTGAGCCTGCGCGTCCGGAGCCTGTGCTCCGCAAATGGGAGAGGCCACAACAGTGAGAGGCCCGCATAACGCAAGAAAAAAAAAAAAAAAAAGAAGCTGACAATTGCCAGATATTGTTTCAAATCATATTAATTTTTTTTTTTTTGCAGAGGTAGTACATTTTAATGTTTCAAACAAAAGTAGTTTGTTATAATGATATAAGCTTTCTACAAACCATCTCTTATCCTGATGACTATATATTCTGGATAAAATACAAAAAACAATTACCTGAGGATTCTGAAGAGTAAGTAAAAGCAGACATTTGTGGAGGGGAGTCAAAATATGAAGAAGCAATTAGCACATGATTGTGTGTCCCTTTGTGTGTTTGTGTCTTTGCCATGAGAGTGGGCCACAGTCACAAAGTACACGAACAGCTAAAACTGCAATGGAAACCCCACCATCAACTTTCTGGTTGGAGGAACCAGGGGAAGAAGCATGCAACAGCCATCCCTGGAGAGTGAGGGGAGAAGATCCTGGAAGGAAGAGTGCCACACGAAGCTCTCTTTGTATTCGTATGTATATGTATATGAAGATGTAGATGTAGATGTAGATGTATGTATATGTATCCCTCACAAATCTCAAGCTGGTCCCTGAACCCACATGCACAAGACAAACTTGGAGGCTAAAAGAATAAACTGAGATTTGAATTTCCACTGACAAAAAGTGAGGCAAACCTGTAACCCAAGTCTACACAAGTTAATTGCCTGCTTAAAAATTTTTTCCCTAAGGAATAAAGCAGAACTCAGAGTATATATAAAATAACATCCGTAATGTCCAGGATAAAATCCAGAATGTAAATTTAGCACTGATTCAGTGGTACTTTGAATTCTGATCTTCCCTAATTTACCTGCTACTATTTTTCAGAGTGCTCAAATAGCTGATGTATGCATTATCTTTTATAGCTGGATTCACTGGGAGACAGGGTGGAGGTGTGCTTATTCCATCTTACCTGGAATTGGAACCACTACCATTAGAATTTTAAATCCTCATTCTTGCCTGGATTCTCTCAGAGTAAGAAGCGCTTGTCAGCCTGGCTAAAGTCACCATTAGGTGCTGTAGGGCTAGGAGTGTCCAAGACCCACCCTGGATGAGCCAGCCCTCAAGTTGAGTCACATAGCACGAGCAGCTTCGAACACCTATTTAGTTGTAGAGTAATTTGGAATGAAGGGTTAGTGCATCTAAAAAGGTGGGCTGGCACCAGATTTTACTAAATTAAAGGGTTTTTTAAAAATGCCAAATCAAAGTGTTTGTATTTTATCCTTTAGAGCTTAAGCAATGAAGACCTATACATAAGAGGGTTGTATGTAGAAAAATGTACTTTATGCAGGGCTCAGGACCCTCCGGACACTTGCTGAACTTCATTAAATATAAAGACAAATAGCGCAGGAGAGAAAAAGAATTAGTGATTCTACTGTTGGAAATAAAAATGAGATCCAGACCAGTGACATTCTAACAGCTTCTTTATTAAAAATCTGTCAGTGATTTTTTTTTTTTTAATCTGCTTTAGGGCGCTTACAATAAGACCAATGGGTAATAGAATTATGAGTTCCTTTTTTCTTCTTTAAATATTATTTTTACAAACGTTCCTTAATGAGCATAAATTACCTTTAAAATCATTATTAAAGAGCTTTTTTAATCCATGGATATTTTGAGACAGCACATGAGAATTTCCAATTACATATAGATTCGTAGAAATACATACCTTTAAAAATCTTGTTTTACAGGTCAGAGAAGTGATTGCCAGAATTTTATTACCTGATATGCACATAGAGATGGCCTTATATTTTTAGTTTTTCATTTGATTGTTGGTTTTCAACAATAATAATGTTACAAGCAAGATCTGAAGTGCCTAACAGGAGAAACCTGTTAGTGGAAGTTGCTTGAGGTTGCTAAGGGCTAAGGAATAGAAATAATATGCAATTTGTGTTCTTCCGCTTGAATCTTTTTCATATTCTTTGCTTAAACATGAGAAAGAGTAGCACTGGAAACATTAATCACAAAAATGATGTGGTCTTCTGACTCTCATCTCACTCTCTTCTGGTGTGTCTCTCAAGTTTGAGTTCCTAATCAAGCATTTTAGTGGTTAGAGTGTCAAGTGCTTCAAATGAATACTTAAACCTAAATTACAAGTACGTGGTAAGATTTGCAAGCTCTCTTCTCTGAAGTGAGTACTTCTCCCCTCCTCCTTAGGCCTGAGGAAATGCTACCTGATATGGGCCTTAGATTGTCCCTTCCAAGGGAAAAGTGAGAGGTCTCTAGTTACAAATGGAATTCTATAAAATGGGGTAGGTGAGGATAAAGCATTTTTTTATATCTACTGTTTGCCAATACCTTGT